ACCACTAGGCAGGTTGCCTAGTGGCTAATATATAAATAATCAAAAACAAGGATCCAATATTTACAAATGGTTAAACCAAGTCTCAAATATGCTAAACTAAAGCAAAAGCTAACAAAATAGTAAAAGCTAAGTACTACAATTGGTGTCTCAGTCAACTCCCCACATAAGATGGTTTGTGTACCCACAAGCCAAGTGCAAAACCTTAATGTAGCACCTCTAAAGCTCTCACCAAGCGCCAAGATTTGCGTTCCAAAGGACAAGGCAAATGTGAATCTCCAAGCAACACCATCTATTGGGAATGGCCATATAACCACGAAGGTTACCAACTGCATGGGCAATGTAGCCATCAAATCTGTGTTCCCTGCATAACATGAATGAATTCTAGGCCAAGAAACATCTATGTAAACTGAAACAATGATAGGTGCCATATCCAGCAACATAAACCTTATACTTAAATTGCCATAACACCTCCAGATTGGACATGTATCCATGTCAATACCACTGAATAATGTCATGACACTGCATAGCATACTGATTTGATAACGTACACCTTTTAGTGAATCTGAATACCAGTTATGATCCCTCAAAGAATGTAAAGATGCACAACCATTAGAGGAGTAGAGCTCAAGCTTGAGCTACAATGGTGGAACCACAGAAGGTTCTCGAAGGAGAACAGGGAAATAGAGAAAGAAGAGTCGGTTAACTGTGAGAATGAACTTACTTGTATTAGAAACTCAACTGAGTATATATATACACATTACATGTGGGACCCAATACTATCTAAAGCTATGCTAATACACATCTAACTAATTGTCAGCATAATGATAAATAAAATATAATACACTATCTCAATACCCCCCATCAAGTTGGAGGTGAAGATGTCACAACCAACTTGCTCATCATTGCTGCATGTTTGACTCCAGTAAGTGCTTTGGTTAAAACATCAGCCAGTTGATGATCAGTCCCAACATGATGAAGGGAAACCAGCCCTTCTTGCAATTTGTCTCTCATAAAGTGACAGTCTACTTCAATATGTTTGGTCCGCTCGTGGAAAACAGGATTATGAGCTATGTGTAAAGCTGATTGGCTGTCACAGAACACTGTGACAGGGGAAGGAAAAGGAACAACAAGCTCAGCAAACAGTCTGCACAGCCACACCAGTTCTCCAACTACATTTCTCAGGGCCCTATACTCTGCTTCAGCAGAAGAAAAAGAGATGGTAGCTTGCTTCTTGGACTTCCAACTAATGGGACTGTCACCAAGTAAGACTAGATAACCACTGACAGACTTCCTAGAGTCTGGGCAGGCAGCACAATCAGAGTCACAATACCCCCTAACTGTGTAATCTGGTTTTGCAGACAAGAAGATTCCAAGAGTAGGATCAACTTTCAGATATCTAAGTAAGTGATAGGCAGCCTTGAGGTGAGGTTCCCTGAGATCTTGCATGGGCTGACTAAGGTGCTGGACACTATAGGCAATGTCCAGCCTTATATTTGTTAGGAAATTCAGCTTGCCTATCAAGGTTCTGTAGACAGAAGGGTCTGCTAAGGGTGTACCTTCCTTGGCTTGAAGTTTGAATGTAGGATCCAATGGTGAGCTGAAGGCACTAACATGAAGGCATTCATACTCCTTCAGTAGGTCAAGGGCAAATTTTCTCTGAGAGATTATCACACCATCCTCCTTGTAGAGGACCTCTAAACCCAGGAAATAATGCAATCGACCCAAGTCCTTGATCTTGAACTGAGCATGTAGAAAAGCCTTCAAACTGTTGATTTCTTCTGGATCATTCCCTGTGACAATTACATCATCTACATAGACAGCAACATATATAGCAGAGGAGTCAGATTTCTTGTAAAACAAGGAGTAATCATTGAAGGAATGTACATAGCCCTTGGAACACAATGCCTCAGCCAACTTGTTATACCACTGTCGACTAGCTTGTTTCAAGCCATACAATGATTTGTGCAGCTTACATACTAGGCCAGGTGTGTCAACCAACAGACCAAGAGGCAGGTCCATATACATTTTCTCATGTAAATCCCCATGAAGGAAGGCATTATTGACATCAAGTTGGAAGATACCCCAAAGCTTCTTCACTGTAGTTGCTACAAGTGCTCTAATAGTTGTCATTTTTACAACAGGTGAGAAAGTCTCAGTGTAATCAACACCAGCTTGTTGTGTATACCCCTTTACTACAAGCCTGGCCTTGAACCTCTCAATACTACCATCAGATTTGTGTTTCACCTTATATACCCATCGACAGCCTATAGGTTTCTTCCCTGGAGGTAAGGGAACTAGGTCCCAAGTATGGTTGGCATGAAGAGCTTCAAACTCTAGTGACATAGCTGCTTGCCAAACAGGATTCAAGGCTGCTTCTGCATAAGATTTTGGTTCACTATCATGGCAAACACTTTGAACAAGTTGCTGACTATCAGGAACCAATGAGGTGAAGGAGACATGATGGTGTTTAGAGAAGAGAGCATTGAGAGAAAAAGAGGAATCTGGATTGGATACAGTAGCAGGAGGTGTTGGATTAGAAGGAGGATGAGCAGTAGGGTATAAGTTGGGTAAAGAGCACACATAGTCTTTTAGATGAACAGGTAAATGATGTTCTCTAGTAGACCTTTTAGGTTCATGATTTCCCTGAATGTGAGGTGGTGGAGGAAGTGCAGGAGATTCTGGAGAAGAGGGACAACTGGGATGTGATACTATCACAGGTGAAGGCACATTGGAGGTGTGAACTGAATCTGGTGGTGGTCTAGACACACAGTCACAGTCACTTGGGTGTGTTGTAGGAGGTGGCACATCTACTGTGCAAGGAGCAGAATTGAGTACCAATGGAAAAGAAGAGGAGGAAGTAGGTAGGATAGCAAAAGGGAAGATGTGCTCATGGAAAATTACATCTCTAGAAACATGAATCTTTTTGGTGGCCAGATTTAAAACCTTGTACCCTTTAGCTTCATGAGGATATCCCACAAAGACATGGGGAGTGGTCCTAGGTTCAAATTTGTCTCTATGGACTTTAGGTATGGTAGGAAAACACAAGCATCCAAATCTTCTCAAATGAGAATATGTTGGTGCTTTATTATAGAGGATCTCAATTGGGCATTTGTTCTTTAGGTAAGTAGTGGGAAGTCTGTTTATAATGTGTGTTGCAGCCAATACACATTCACCCCAGTATTGTAAAGGCAGCTTGGACTGGAAAAGGAGTGCCCTGGCAGTTTCCAAGAGGTATTTGTGTTTCCTCTCCACAACTCCATTTTATTGAGGAGTATAGGGACATGTTTTCTGATGAACTATTCCCTTAGACTGAAAGAATGACAAGGCTTCCATGTTGACAAATTCTGAAACATTATCAGATCTAAGGTATTTGACAGTGGAATTGAAGTGGGTTTCAACTAAGGATATGAAATTTTTGATGACTTGCAAGACATTGCACTTGCTACTCAAGAGGTGAGTCCAAGTGGCCCTGCTATAATCATCTACTAAGGTGAGAAAATATTTATACTTATCATGAGTAGTAATGTGATAGGGTCCCCAGAGGTCTGCATGAAGAAGTTCAAAAATGAAAGTAGTAGTGCTAGTCCTATGGGGAAAAGTAAGTCTTGGTTGCCTAGCCATAGGAAAAATGGAGCAGAGGAAAGGTTGTTTAGTTGAGAACTGAACAGGGATAGAAGATATCCCCCTCATTTTGATAAAGGGCACATGGCCTAATCTGTAATGCCACAACAAATCATCTTGATTCTTGTTAGATAAAAGAGAATTTGAGGAAATGCACTGAGTTTTATTATTGATGGAATTATTTACAAAAGACTGTGAATTGTAATGGGAACATTTACAGATGATGTAGAATTCTGACAGTGCAAACTATTTACATCAGAAGGACTAGACAAAACAGAACAGGAAACAGGTAAAGAGGCATGTGTAGCAGAACATGAATTCTTCAGACAGCTTGAACATAGAAGGTACAAGCCATCTTTGACCTTACCAATCTCCAGAGGCCTCTTCATTAAAGGGGCCTGCAGAAGACAAAGAAAATCAGAGAAGGCAATCAAACCTTTGAGTTGAGAAGCTAAAGAGTGAATTGAAATAAGATTGTACATAAAGGATGGAACAAATAGGACTCTATGCAGAACAATGTTTGGTGCTAATGTGGCAGGTCCAATTTCTGTGACTTTAACTCTATGGCCATTTGGTAGTGTGATTAACATAGGGTATACTAGGGTTTTAATATGAGTGAGTAAAGATTTATTGAAGTTCATATGATTGGAAGCTCCATAGTCTAGGATCCAAATTTCAGCCCTCGATTTAAAGCATTTGCATGAAAGTAGCCCATAATCAACAGAAAGAACAGAGGCAGAGTAGGCAAAAATACCTGCGAAGTTCACAGCTCCACCAGTCACATTGTTATCTGAACTATCTCCTTCAGTGTTGGTCTGAAAATGTTGAAGCAAAGCCACCAACTGCCCATACTGCTCCTTAGTGAGACTCACATTGGAATTGTTGCCTTGAGTATGTGTTTCTTCACCTTTCATAGAAAAAGAATCGAGTGGAGCACTATGTACATTAGCTGCAGTCCTTTTGCCCTTATTGTACTTGGGATTCTGATTGAAATCCTGTGGATATCCATGGAGTTTGAAGTATTTCTCTCTAGTATGGCCAGCACGTTTGCAGTAATCACAGAAGGGGCGAGGTCTAGTACTCGTGGAGGAATTGTTTGGAGAGTAGTTGGTTCTGAAATTGCTATGTACAAGTGTTCTGCTGTTGAAGCTGTTGTGTGAAGTTATACTAGCATTCAAAGAAGCAGAGTCAAGCATGATTTGATTATGTGGCCTCACTTCTCGCTGTTTTTCTTCCTGAATTAACAAGGAGAAGGCCTGTGCCATGGAAGGCAGTGGATTCATCATGAGTATACTACCTCGCACTGTGGTATACACTTCGTTCAGACCCATGAGAAATTGAATAAGTCTTCTATCTTGCTCAGCCTTGTGCATATTCTCTTAAGCCCCACAAGTGCATTGACAACTACACTGTGACTTGGCATTTATCATGTTTAATTCTTCCCAAAGCTTCTTCATTTTCGTATAATATCCAGTAACATCAAGGGTTCCCTGATCTAGATCATTGATTTCCTTTTGGATTTGATACAATTTGGTACCGTTAGTCTGGTCGTACCTATCTTCCAACTCTCTCCAGAGTTCAAAGGCATTATTAGCATATTCAACACTATCAGCAATTTCCTTACACAGAGAATTCAGGATCCATGAGGTTACCATATCATCGCACCTTTCCCATTGACGAAATTGCGGAGAATCTAGGTCTGACTGTTTGTACTCAACAGTGATGAATCCTACTTTATTTTTAACTGAGAGGGCTCGAAGAACGCTTCTTATCCTGGATCGGTATCCAATACCAGTGAACGGAGTTGTCACCAACATCGCACCAGGATTATCTGATCGATGCATATAAAAAGGGCAGCTAGGGTTGACTCCGGGATCAGTAATGGCGACGTGAGTTGAATCAGTTGATTCAACTATAGAATCATTATTTGGATCAAGGATAGCCATGATAAAACGGTACCAATTTGTCGAAAAGGAAAAGAAACGAGAAGAGGAGAATGTCGGATCGAGAAAAATTAGGGCAAAAAGACAGAGATTGTGACTGTGGTTCTAGAATCCAAAAGAACTAAGAGAAGTCGGAGAGAATGGTGAGTAGAATACCTCGCTCTGATACCATGTAAAGATGCACAACCATTAGAGGAGTAGAGCTCAAGCTTGAGCTACAATGGTGGAACCACAGAAGGTTCTCGAAGGAGAACAGGGGAAACAGAGAAAGAATAGTCGGTTAACTGTGAGAATGAACTTACTTGTATTAGAAACTCAACTGAGTATATATATATACATATTACATGTGGGACCCAATACTATCTAAAGCTATGCTAATACACATCTAACTAATTGTCAACATAATGATAAATAAAATATAATACACTATCTCGATAAAGAACCATGTAGAACTGATGTATTGCACTCACTAATCCTGAAGCTCCTATAAGCACCTATGTTCTGCCAATTGGAACCTATACCAATGAACCATGATTGCAATTCAATCAAACTATATGTCCTGCCATTACATCTCCAGATTGGGTATGAAATCATACCAATACCACTGGTTAATGTCCTAGCAATACACGTGTACACATAAGTAACCATCAATCCTGTTGCTAACATTATATCCCAGCTTTTGTGTTGCAACAACCATTGATCCATAGTATGTTCAAGCACATGATAACTAATACATAAGTAACAGTAAATACAAAGAATGTACTAAGATTTATGAGTAGACATTAGATGTTCAAAAAACGTTATAAGAAGCACTATCCATAGCGTGCTTACATGACAACCTCTATACACCATTAAAGCGCCTCCAGATTGAGCATTATACCATGCTAATACCACTGGAAAGTACCTTAACAGTATACAGGTTTTGCTCATTACAATATGACAAGCAAGCAAGTGCAATAACAAACCTAGTAACATCTTCAATATGGAGCTCTTCTTTGGCAATACTAATCCTAAGATTAGGAGTTTGTGATTTGTCAAGATTGATTAGCCTCCTCCCTGCACTAGGCAGTTCAAAGAATGATTGAAATTCAGTTGCCTGCAAAAAAGAAAATAATGTTAGCTATAAATTCTGCTACCGTGTTGCCCTCTCTGAGCACGTGTTGAAAGATCATATTAAAATGATCCCTCAATTTCTTAATCTTCTGCACATCTAGAACGATAGACCAAGGTGGATCCCATTCCCCTTCAATAACCTTCTTTAACACCAGAGAATATGTCTCCAATATTCGTGGACAATCTTCACAAATCGCCTGTCGCCAGTAGAGTTACGAGACTCCTACACTCTCGGGTTGAGTGAATTTCAAAGCTTGAGCGTATTTGACCAGATTTGTAAAAATTGATCTAAGTGTATTTTTTTCAAAAGTACTTTTCAAAAAAGTGCTTTTGGAAAGAAGCTATTTTTTTCTACTTCTCAAAAATTATTTATGCTTCTACACAAAAGTATTTTTTTTCCTTCTAAAAGTTTGGCCAAACACCTAAACTTGAAAAAAGCATATTGGACCCCCAAAAAAGCTCTTTTGGCAAAAAAGCAGCTTAGTCAAACATGCTAATATTGTGCTTCTATAATGACACACTTTTTCTAGCTCTTAAAGAGTTGAGAAAAAGGCAAGTCTCGCACTATCGTTGTCGTCCTCGGCCTCAAATTCGGATTTGAATTTGATCAAATAACTTAATTTGGAATTTTCCTGCCTAATTTTCGTAACGGTAATTTTTTCCTTCGTTTTAATTTTTTCATTAGTTTTTTGTGAATAGCCACCTGAAAGTTGTTTTTAATAAACTGCCACAAAAAAGGCTTCAACTTTTGAGTTGCACCTGTTCGTATAAATCAACTTGTTGGCTATAAATACTTGGCCATCCTAAGATTTTTCTTACGAAAATTTTAAAGTCACTCCTTCTTCTTCTACGTTACTTTCAAATAAAAGTAAGTGTGTGATTTGCTGCCACCATTTGAGTTCGCTGATTACTAGCGTTTAAAGTACCGCTACACCAATGAGATTAATTTATTCTATTTTGAGAAGAAATATTCTTACACCTCGGATTCTTGGAGGAGATTAAATTCCTTAAAGAAACACCATGAAATAAGTGGGCTCAGATTATTCTTCTTTGTTTGTTTCTGGATCTATTTTACAGTCTTAGTTTTGTTTTCGAAAATAGAAAGTTAACAATCTTAAGGAACTTAATCTATATTCTATTCTGTATTCAGTTTAATATACTATTAGTGGAGACTAAAACCTCTATGATTTTTTACTCTCGCTTTTGGAGATTAAAACCTATAGTACTTTTAGAAATAAAGCTTTCATGGTTTTATACTCCACCATATAATTATTTATATCATTTTTTTATTCATTTTTAATCTGTTCTTTGGAGATAAAAATTCTAGTAATTTTCTACTCATTTGAAGATTAGAATTTACATGATTTTTTACTCTAATTTTATTTAGTTTTAAGATTAAAAATATTGCCATTACTGAAGCTATTTGTGTCAATTTTATCAGAAATAATAACAAATATCAAACATTAAACGGTTCATGTATTGATGACCATGCCTCATCAAAATGCACAATGCTTGCATCGGTACTGGCACCGACATAAATTAATTTCAAGCGAGAGCAGCAGAAGGTATTCTTCTATTTGAATACTCTAAATTTGCAGAAGTTCAATAAAGTATTCTGTTTTTGTCATAAGGAACTTTTGAAAATTAATGCTTCTTTGTGGCCGAGGCTTGGAATCACTCTAACTTCTTGTGCAAGAACTACATTCTTGAAAATTTGGAGAACAACTTATACAATATTTACAGTAGTGTGGAGACTTCAAAGTAACTTTGGACTGTTCTTGAAAAGAAATATAAAACTAAAAATGTTGGATTAAAAAAATTTATAGCTGCCAAATTTCTGGACTACAATACTGTAGACAACAGGTCTGTCATTAAAAAAATTTCTTCTTATTGAAGGTATTATCCGAATTAATATATATGATAGAAGTATTAATTGTGTCGTTATTTACAAATTTTTCATTGAAGGTTGGTCATCAATGAGGCATTTTATGTTGCAGAGCTAATTGAGAAGTTGTCTCCTTTATGGAAGAACATCAAAAATTACTTGGAACACTAATGCAGGGAGATATCGCTATAAGATCTCATTATTCAGTTGAGGATCAAAGATGACAACTAGGCTACTGAAAAGAAGGTTAGTGAAAACTCAACAATAATGAGAGTCACACATTATTGAGGATACTCCACCAAATAACAAATAGAGAAAGAAGTTTTCTAAACCAAACAATAACCTGAGAACAAAAAATTTAAAGAAAATTACTACAATTGTAGGAAAGATGGACATAAGTCTGCGGGCTATCGTGTCCCAAAGAAGGACAAGAAAAAAGATCAAGAAAATATGATTATAAACAATAAAGATCTAGATGACTATTCTTTAAAAATGCAACTTGGTACGAAATCTTAAGGAATAGTAGATTGATTCTGGAGCCACCTGTCATCTTTGTGTTTTTAAAGAATCATTTGTTTCATATGCTCCTACCGGACGTGAAGAGATGCTATCCATAGAAAACTCTAAAATGGCTAAGATTGAAGGATATGGAATGATATTCCTGAAGATGACTTCTGGCAAGATGGTAATTCTAAACAACGTTCTTCATGTTCATGAAATATGAAAGAACCTATTTTCCACTACACTTCTCGTCAAGAACGGGCTTAAATGCATTTTTATATCAAACAAGATTGTATAAGTAATAATAATATTATTTAGGAAAATGTTACCTTACTGAGGACCTTTTCAAACTAAATGTGATGGTCATTGATAATGATAAAGCTACATCTTCTTCTTACTTACTCGAGTCAAATAATTTATGACATATGTGTTTGGGACATAACTAGTGAAATTTTACAAGTGGGGTCTTGCGAGAGTAGTGTGTATGCAGACCTTACCCTTATCTTATAGAGGCAGATAGGTTATTTTTGATAGACCATCGGTTCAAACAAAGTATAATCCCAACAGTCATAAAAAAGAAATATAACAGTGGAGAAGAAGCCATGAAAAAAGAAGCAATAATAACAAAAAAAAAATAACTGAAGCAATAGAAATAATAGGTAGTAATAAAAAAACTAAGAATAAGAAAATACAGGAGCAATACTAATACTATTATTATGGAGAAGAAAAATGTGGGGCTATATACTACCCTACTACTATAATCCTCGACCTCCACACCCCATCAAGAGTCATGTTCTCAGTAAGTTGAAGAAGTGTCATGTCTTGCCTAATTACCTCTCCCTAATACTTATTCCGGGTACCTCTACCTCTCCTTACACCCACCATTGCCAACCTCTCACACCTCCTTACTGGCATCTGTGCTTCTTCTCCTCACACGCTCGAACCACCTCAACCTTGCTTCCCCCATATTGTCTACCACAAATTCCACTCTCACCTTGTACCGAATAACCTCATTCATAATTACATCTCTCCTAGTTGTCGCGCCACCTTTTTCTTGCAAAATCGGGTTTCGACATTTTGACAATTCCTTTTGAGAGGGTAAGGAAAAGGAATTGGTTAGAGTCGCCACCTAACGGATTAAGGTGCGTTAGGGCACCTAGAGCACATAACTCATATCATACCAGTTTGCATCACCAGATCAGGTAAGGGATTGAAATTACGTTGAGGGGAAGGTGTTAGGCACCCCTCGAGGTCCACAACTGTGTGTCCCGACTGAACTTAATTTACGAATTAGTCTAATAAAGAAGCTAGAGAATTACTTAATGGGGGGTCCTAAATTTTTTAGCCTAAAAGATCACCTCGTGCAACATAAATAATACTTCGTAACTCCCTCGGGATAGGGTGTTACTCATATTATTCAGCGGGCACAGACTGTCATCTCCTGCTACCCAATTACTATCTGTAAGTTGTTACTTAAAGCGCTCTAGTTGATTCTAGTGCGTTT